AGATTCCTTCCCCAGCTCCTGAATCTCCCTACCTAAATGATCCACTCTACCCTGTATCATTGCCTGTCACCATTCCTGCTTTCCTTCTCAAGATAGTCCTTACTACCTTGTATTATACCAATCGCATATTTACTTATATGTTCATTGTCTGCCTTATGCACTATGAAGTGAGAGCCAACGACACTGCCTTTTCACTAGGTACTAAAAAAATTTAGTGAGTAAATAAGTGAATTATCTGCTGACCCTTTATACATCAGGTTTTACAAGTCATTTCTACCCAACGTATGAATGTTTTTGGTCTTTCTAGGCACTCCTTTTGCATTTGTGTTAGCTACGACCAGATGGCAGGGGTTTCTGTTAATTTATTCATAAAACCAAAAATTGGCTTTTCTCAGATACGGCTAACACAAAAGAATGAGAATAGCGTAAAATTCGGTTGACTGTGCTTTGCACAAAATCTTTATGCTTTCTTAATCTAATAATGTTAATTATTGACCAAACATTGACTTTGCTTATCAAGGCTTAAAAATCATGTAAAGTTATTTTTAAGTCATTTCCTCTCTTTAATTTGAGGTCATGGACTATAAATTATTCATTCTTTTAGTGCCAGGGCTAGACTCACAGCCTAGTAAATATTAACAGAAGTTTCTCAATAGATGTTTGATGAAAAAGACAAATTGGAGAATAATTCAGGGAAATAAAGCATCTAGGTATTTATGCACTTCCTTTGTGAAGACTTGTTATTGCCTTTATAAAAGTTTTTGACTTTTTATTATCTTAATCAGTTGTCTTCTGTGTCCCAGCCCTCATCCTAAATCACTTTCTCAGGCAAACTCCCACTTTGCATACAAGTCTATTTTTGGCCAAATCGACCTTCTTGTTACTCACTGCAGATGGAGCTATGCCTTCCAGCCTCCTGTGGAACCCTTAAGTCAGAGGTAAGAGAGGGCCAGGATGGCTCCACAGGAATGGGGACCAATTTAAACCGATGGCCTGGGTGTAACCCTGATGGTTCTTACCCTCTCAAACATGGGCTAGATGTAACCAGAATGAAGGGGGAAAAGTTACAGATTCACCCAATTGACGTTTATGTAACTAGGAAGATTCTGGTACCATGTTAAACATGATGATTTAATAGGCAAGGCCTTTATTTTCCTTAAAATTAAAAAAAAGCTTCTTTCCCCCTCCCTATAATGACAGTCATTGTAAAATGTTAAGGCAATACAGGGTGTAATATGAATCATTCTATCCCACGACCCAAACAAAAGCTCCATTCTGCTTATATTAATATATTGCTGTTTAACAAATCACTCCAAATTGTAGGGAGTTGAAACAATAACAATTGATTTATTGTTGTCCCTCAGGTTCAAGAGGTTGACTGGGCTCAGTGAGGCAGTTTTCACTCGGAGTATCATGTGTTTGCAGTCAGGGCTGAGGCCGGAATCACCTGCAAATTCACTCACTCACGTGTTGAGTGAGTGGCTAAGGAGACTCAAAGACTTGTAGGCTGGAACAGCTGGGGCTCCTTGGGCATCTCTCTCTAATTCTGCGTGGCCTCTTCATGTGGTCTCTTCAGCATGGTGGCTTCAGTGTCGTCAGATTTCTTCCATGGCAACACAGGCTTCCAGAGGTGCTTGCCAACAGACATAGAGACACCCCCCAGATGAAAGCTTTTTCTAATCTGTCTGGGCTGCTATGACAAATCACCATTTATTGGGTAGCTTAAACAACAAACATTCATTTTTTATAGTTTTGGAGGCTGGAAGTCTGAGATCAGGGTGCCAGCCGGCATGGTCAGTTTCTGATGAGGGCCCTCTTCTGGGTTGTAGACTGCCAATTTCTTGTTGTACCTTCACATGGCAGAAATAGGTAGAGAGCTCTCTGAGGTCTCTTATATAAAAGTATTAATAATTCATGAGGGATCCACCCTCATGACCTACTTCATCTCACAAAGGCCCCATCTCCTGCCACCATCACGTTGGGGGGTAAGATTTCAACATATGAGTTTATGGGGTGTCGGGGCACATTCAGTCCATAACAAAGCTGTATTGGCTCTTCTAAGATAGTCTCAGAAATCATGCAACAAAACTTCTGGGGTACTCTGTTAGTAAAGCAGTCCCCAAGGCTAGGTTCAAGGGGGAATGACATAGACTCCACCTCTTGGTGGGGAAGTGACAGAGCTCTTCAAGAGCGTGTGGTATGAAAATTATTGTGGCCATTTTTGGGAAATACAATCTGCCACAACCACTTAATATTTTGTGGACTCTCAGGCATCTCTTTTTGCATATTCTATTTTATATAATTTTTTTCCTAATACATGCTGTTATAAAACTTTCTTTGTGCATATTAGAACAACTGCTATATTACAGAAAAAGAAACTGAGATTAGTAACACGGCTTGCCACACAGTGAGTTAGTTGCAGAGTTGGGCCAGACTCCAGGTCTCTTAGTTATAAATCCAGGATTCTTTCTCCTGCTCCATTGGAATAACGAAAGCAGAGCTTTGTGATGTTCCACGCTGGAGCTATGGATGGAGCAGGGTGGACATTGAGGTACTTGGGGAAGGCAGGACTATTAAGAGGCTTGTTTGGTAGTGCATACAAAAGCAGGTGGGTTTTACATTCATAATGAAAACTCAAACGAAGCATACGAGTTTGAGATACCATGGAGGAACACAGGTGGCTGATTATACATTTCCTCTTAAAGAGAGTGGATGATTCTAAGTTTAGAGAAGAGTGGAAGTCAGTTTAGACTGGGGACAAATAAAACCTAGTTTGGCAGGGCAGGTAGATTGAAGTTGGAAGCCAGGAGAGTGAGCAGTTAAAAAAAAGTAACACTTTGTTTTGAGTGTCTATATTAGGCACTATGGTAGTCGTTTAATATACGTGTTCATTTAGCCTCAAATAGCTTTGGGATGTTGGGATTATTGTTCCCATTTACAGCTGAGGAAGATGAGTTTCAATCCTTAGATAACTTCCCTTAGATCACACAAGGGGATCACAACTTGTGGAAAAGCCAAGATTTTGGATCAGATCTTTTTTCTACACTACACTATAATTATTAGAGAAATTAGATTGAATAACTAGTGATAGCTTGCTCCAAAATTGGAAATAATTAAAAAGAGGATTTGAAAAGGGGTAGCTAGAGTATTTTATAAGGCAAATGTCTGAAAGACTTCTCCATCAACCAGAAGGCATCCAGATTCACAAAATCTCAGAACCGGAGGGAAACTCAGAGCTCACGTGGATCAGTGATTCCTTAGCAAATCAAGGTCACCAGGTCATCAACACACCAGTGCATAATTCTTTCACTGGAGAGGCTGGGTTAGTGGATCCAGTGTGGGGTTTGAGAGAAAAGCAGTTAAACCTGGTTGGTAGCCTTTTTGTTCAGCCTCAGGAGAGCCTGAGGGTTTGAACCTAGGTCAAATCCCCCTTGCAACTAATCTCTATAGATGACTAACCTATATGTGCTGAGATGCAGCTGCACCAGAAAATGGGTACTAGTCACACATCCCTGAGGGGGCTGAGCCTAAGGAACCCCAGAGCTGAAGTTTCCCTAACTGAGGTGGCCCACGTCCACTCAGCACGCTCTCTTGACATGCCCGCTCTAAGTGTGGAAAGGCTGGGATATTTAAAGGCATGCCTGGGAGTCATGAGCCCTCCACTGCACTGTCATCATGCATGCTGTGTGGCGATCGATTCTGGGTGTATTTCATGACTTTGATTGCCAAGGCCACTGCAGCTGGTCAAGCAGAGAAGGCATTGCAGGTGTGAATTTTGGAAGTTTCTCCCAGTAACTCTGATGTACAACCCTAGTTGGAAACAACTGGTCCAGACCAATGGCCTCATTTTGTAGATTAGAAAACAGGCTCAGGAAGGGAGCTGACATGCCCAAAGTCTTCATCACTGCTTGTGGACAGAGTCAGGACTATAACTGATACCTTGAAAGCATGTGCTCTGTGGTTTTCTGTTGAAATAAAGGAAGTCACCTGGAGTCATATTTCCCAAAATATATTCTGTACTACAGAGTCCCATGAACCACTCTGTGAAAAATCAGGTTCTGTACGATTGAATAAGTTTAGTTTTGAGAAATACTATATAACATATTACCCTCTTAGAAATTTACACAATATTAAAAGCTCTGAGAAGTTTGCTAGTTAATACATTTTGTTCCATTTAACTCAGAGTTTCCTTAAGTTCTTTGAATATTGGAATCTTCATTTTTACACTCATTAAACATCTCACTGAATAGTACCTAGGCAAAACAAACTTTGAGAAAAGCTGACCTAAAGAAATACAGATTGAATAAAGGATTAGAAATAACTGTCTTCAAAGCTGCAAAAGCTAGACTGCAAGCACAATATGCACCTGTTATTGTCTAAATTATAAACGTTTTGTTCCAAAGTTTATAGTAACATAGATTATAATTAAGATGTATGTTATTTCATAATTAATTTTATTTTTATTTTATTTTTTTACTGATACATAATAGATGTAAGTATTTTGAGGGGGCACATGTCATATTTTTGATACATTCATATAACGTGTAAAGGTTAAATTAGGGTAATTGGGATATCCATTATCTCAAACATTTATCTTATCTTTATGCTGGAAACATTTGAATTATTCTCTTCTAGCTATTTTGAAAGGTACAATAGACTATTTTTACTGTGGTCACCATACTGATTTATCAAACACTAGGTCTTCTATTATAAAACTGTATTTTTGTACCCATTAGTCAACCTCTCTTCAATCCTCCCTCCTCTCTACCCTTTCTGGCCTCTGGTAATCACCAATCTACTCTCTGAGGATGTGTGTTATTGTTGTGACTTACTGTGGGGGTAAGGGGTCTCATTTCCAAGGCCAGAGCTGGAAAAGCCCCAACCCCTCGAGGTTGGAATAAGAGGCAAATACCTGCAAGTTCATCAAAAGCTGAACCATCACAACTATGCCACAAGCTCTGGACTGAATCATCTGTCTAGTCATGCCGATGCCCAGGGCATCAAAGGGAAGAACTTTTTGTATTGATGAGCTTTCTCAGGGCACCTTTCATGTCCATGTTCCTCAGGGTGTAGATGAAGGGGTTCATCATGGGTGTCACCACAGTAAATAGTACTGCACCTATCTTATCTGTGTCCTCAGGGTGAGTAGATGAGGGGAAAAAGTAAACCCCGACAATGGTCCCATAGAAGAGTAATACAACCGTCAGGTGAGAGCTGCAGGTGGAGAAGGCTTTCCTCTTTCCCTCTGTGGATGAGATTCTCAGGACAGCACTGATGATGCAGACGTAGGAAAATAAGATGAGGGCAAAGGGGAAGGTGATAACTGATAAGCCCACAACAAATAACACAAGCTCATTGATCATGGTGTCTGAGCAGGACAGTTTCAGCAGAGGGGCCAAGTCACAGAAGAAGTGGGGGAGAGTGTTGCTGTCACAGAATAGCAGCGGAATGAGCAGAAGGGTGTGTGTCAGAGCAATAAGGTTACTAAGGACCCATGGGATGACTGTGAGCAAAATGCAGAGCCTGGGCTGCATGATGGTCGTATAGCTCAGAGGGTGGCAGATGGCCACAAAACGGTCGTAGGCCATGGCTCCCAGGAGGAAATTGTCGATGACGACAAACACGATAGAAAAGTACATCTGTGTGATGCAGCTCGCATAGGAGATGGATTGACTCTTGGTCTGAATGTTTATCAGCATTTTGGGGACTGAGTTGGAAATGGAGGAAATATCAGCAAAAGATAGGTTGGCGAGGAAGAGATACATGGGGGTGTGAAGGGACGGATCCAAGCTGATGGCCAGAATGATGAGCCCGTTCCCAACCACAGTGACCAGGTACATACACAGGAAAAGCACGAAGAGGAGATTCTGCTGCTCAGCCTGGTTGGAGAGTCCCAGGAGGATGAATTCAGAGATGGCGGTTTGGTTTCCTTGACGCATATTTCCACTGATCTGAAGAAAGGAACACAAGGTCTTCAAATTCCCACAGAAAACTCAATATGATGCTATTTGGCTGCAGTCATTGCAGTGGGGCACTTCCTCTAGGCTAAAGGGTAATGAAGTTCTCTCTACTTATTATTATTAGTTCTTTTTGGACATAAGGTCTCACTCTGTCACCCAGGCCAGAGTGCAATGGCATAATCACATCTCACTGCAACCTCGAACTTCTGGGCTCAAGCAATCCTCCTGCCTCAGCCTCCCAGGTAGCTGGGGCTACAGGTTGGCACCACTGCACCCAGAAAATTTTTAAAGTTTTTTGTAGAGATGGGGTCTTGCTTTGTTGCCCAGGCTGCCCATGAACTCCTGCCTCAAGCAATCTTCCTGCCTCGATCTCCCAAAGTGCTGGGATTACAGGCGTGAACCACTGTACCCAGCCTTCCTTCTATTATACTTACTAAGTAGAAGGGCTACTTAATAAGGAACATCTCAGTAGTGCAGAGACTCAGGAAATGTCTTAGAAAGAAAAGTCAGGAATGTGATAGATATTTCTCAATGAACATGTTTTTTTAAACTCAAACAGGGCTCTGAATGTGATTTTTCTAGTTAGATCCAAATGTGGTTTAAATCCTCCAAACTGAGGATTGTAGATGAGGTGTACCCTATATTCTAAAGATGCTCGATATTCCTGCAGGACTTACTTAAAAATGAACAAACTGCTCTCAAAACCTTCTCCACTGTTCACCTTCATTCTTATCTAAGAAGATAGAAATTTAAAGAGTCATTGAAATGAAGAGTTTGGGAGAGTAAAACGAACAGACAGGAATTCTTACGGGAGTATATCATTGTGTGGATACTCCTTTCCGCTAAAGTACTCCAGAAGAACTGATCTTGGAGAAGGAGTACAAGAAGGAATGGCCAGAAGTTTACTTCATTTGTGGCTAGATGTTAGGTGAACCAAGGAAATTTAGGGTACGTATATGAACCTAAAGGTTTGTGTTTGCCCCTCACTTCTGAACATGGGGGGCTCACTGGATCAGCCCAGAGGTAGGGGGAAAAGACAGTGGTCAGTAGGGCACTCCTGTGTTCTCACCCATGGCACAAATATGTGAATTTCCTACAGGCCAGGTGGATGCTGCAGGGAGGGGGTCGTGGGACTCAAGCCACCTTCTTGGGCCTCCAACCAGGGAACGGCCTGCTGAGGTAGAGGAGGCTGTAGCAGTAAGAGACCATGGGTGACTGTCTTATGAAAAGAAATATCTTAAAGAGATCAGGGAGAAAATTCGTTGCCTGTGACAGGGATCTGCATAATGGAGCAGTCCCTAAAAGGGGGTCTCTGCAGAACTCCAAAATGGTCATAAGAGAAAGCATGCCTGCTACACATAAGGCATTGATTGCTAGCATCCTAGCAGTTGAGCACTTTTACCTTTTTTTCTGATTCCTCTTTTTCCTCCCTGACCTTATGAAACTGAAAAAGAAAGGAAGACAACAACAACAACAATAACAACAATGACGATGACAGTGTGACTGGGGGAGGAGAGGTTAAAGAACAAGGGAGGAACGGATGCCCTGCCTTCCCGCTGTACATCCCAAGCTATACTTTGGACCTGAGCTCCACAGGGAAGACACATGCTTTGAACTGGATGTTGAAACTGAAGTTTTAAATTGGGCTTGGCTTGGCTTTTTAACACCTGGAAGTGAGTGTTCAGTACCAAAGTAAAACATTTTTAAAACCTTAAGTGAGCAGAAAGTTATCACTTCACAAGTTGTCACCTAGGAGCAGGAAAGGGAGATTGGACCTAGTTTGATTTTCCTTGTGATTTAATGGAAGGAATATCAGCTTGCAGGTTAAGAGGTATTTGTCCCTGTCTTTCTGCTTTCCTAATATAGTCTTCCTCTCATTTTTCCCTTTCTCTTCTACTTATCTCCAAAATCACTTGTCCTCCAAAGGTTTTCTTTCTATGAGGAGGCAAACAAAACAAAGCAAAACAAAAAAACCCCAGTAAACCTCTACCTCTGGGGTTCCCAAAAACTGAAGAGCAATAGAAATTGGGGCAGAAGCTCTGAGGTCTCTTTGGTCCTGAGAAGCTTGGCTTACAAATCAGAGAGAGGAGGAACATGTGCAAAACGGAGGCTCCATGGCAAAACTAAAATTCAGCAAAGACCTGGGAAGCATCTACACCTAAGCTACAGACTAGCCTTAGAGAGTCCAGTGGTTACCAAGCCCTGGCTGGTTTGGCCTGGACTAGAAAGGGGAACTGTATGTTTTCGAGTGATAATCTCGAATCTTTCCTTCCTCTCCCACCCACCGGGAGTCCTGCACAAACTGTCCTGAGTGCTGAGGTGGCTGCCTCGCTTGTCAAGACCGGTTATAAATTCTGAAAAGGCTCACCTCTGAATGAGAGAAAAATCTGAGGATGTTACTGGTATCTAGACCCAGTGGCTTTCCTTGTACTTAGCAGGGTAGCAGGTGGGGACTGAGAGCAGCTCTTGTGTATTTTTCTGAATTGGACTCTACCCCCAAGCATCAGAGTAATAGAATCATGGTTCTGGGCTCACATGGGGCATTTAGCTTCTTCTAAGCCCTTTGGGATGATGTCCCTGAGGTGTTTTTCTCAAGACAAACAGTAATTTTCACACCCCAGTCTCGATGAGGTAAATGGGGAAGAGACAGGCAGCTCTGCTTTTTTCCTTTCTTTTGTCTTCAGCTGTTCTTCCCACTTGTGATTTCCTATCTGTAACTTAGTTGGTTTTCACTCTTCCTAGCAAGTGAGTTGTTGGCTGTGTGCGTCTTATGCGTCCCGTGAGGTGGTAAGCATTTTGAGTTCCTTTTGTCTCTTCTCTGGTGCCCAGCAGAGGGGAACACTTAGCATATCCGAGAGAATTGAGTTGGATTCCTTGACTAGAGACTGTGGCTCCAAAGAAATGCGATCCCCAGTGGCCCTTCAAGTGGTGCAGAGGCCATGAACGAATGTCAGTATTGGAAAGACACTGGAGACCCAGGGATTCAGCATTCAGGGCTCTTCACTGCAAACTAAAGACATAAACTCTTGGTCTTTAATATTGAAAAGAAAAATATTGAAATGATATTGAGTTGAATGGTTCTCAGTACACTGGGAAGACTAGAGAAACAGACCCTGAAATGGACAGGAGCAAGGGAAGCTGCACAGCCATAGATACAGCCAAAATTAATATGTCCCTTCTTCCAGTGCTTGAAGGTACCTCATAATATAGTACAGTTATTTATCACCCAAACCAAGAACATTCATCCCCTCTTCAAGAGGAAACAACTCAATCTATGGATTCATTGTGTTCATGAAATGTATTCAATAATAGGTTCTCATGGCAATGAGTGGTTTATATGTACCATGGAGTACTACTCAGCCATAGAAAGGAATGAAATATGTTGTTTGCAGCAACTTGGATGGAACTGGAGACCGTTATGCTAAGTGAAGTATCTCAGGAATGGAAAAGCAGATACCGCATGTTCTCACCTACGTGGGAGCTAAATGAAGGACATCTACGGTCACAAAGAGTGGTAATGGACCTTGGAAACTAAAGAGGGGAGGCTCTCAGGGGTTAAGGATAGACATATACCTGTTGAGTACAACATATACTATTGTGGTGACGGGTACACTAAAAGTCTTGACTTTAGCATGATACAATTTACCCATGTAACAAAAAACACTCGTACCCCCTACATTTTATAAAAGAATGTAAACAAAAATTGTCACAATCCTCACTCCTCTAGCTGGCTGTGAAGTTCCGATGGATATTTTCCATCTCCCTCCTTCACCACTCATTTTAGAGTCCTTCACGCTTAGCTCACACTTTGGCCCATCTGGGCTGCCTGTCTTTGGGACCCAGGAATTTTTCCCGGAGGGATTAGGATGCTTAGTTGCCCCGACTGTGCTGAGTTGAGGTTGTGGTAACTGCTCATCACAGTCTTTCCATCATAGTTCAGAATCACTCTGGTTCAAAGTTTGGGAATAGGAAGCCCCAGTTGTAGAAATTGGTCATTGGGTGTGAGAGTGAGAGGGGCCACTCCCACTATGACACGTGGCTCTTGAATCTGTGCATTTTAGCTATGAGGGACACAGTTGCTGTTTGTCAGAGGTGAGTTCAAGGAACATACATTGTCCAGGAGGAAAGTGCCTCACCCACAAAATGTTGTCCCCCCATTGGCACCTTAGCTAGTGTACATTCTATCTAGCAAAGGGAATGTGTAGGAGGGCAGTGAATTCTATAGTCATTTAGTCAATTGTTGCACTTTTTTTAATAGCTTAAAATGAGTCCCTTTCACATGTACTCACCATCAAATTGGTATTAATTGATAAACACATAAGTGCACATATAAGAATAACATCTATTGGATGTCGGGCAGCGGGGAGGGGATGGGTATATGCATATACAAAGAGTGTGATGTGCACCATCGGGGGTAGACACGCTTGAAGCTCAGACTTGGGGGGTTGGGGGGGCAAGGGCAACATACGTAACCTAAACATCTGTACCCCCATAATATGCTGAAATAAAAAAAAAATAAAATAAAACGAGTCCCTTGGTTCCAGGCAATTTGTGTGAAATGTCGGAGGGATGATGGGTAAGGTATTCTGCATGCATTGGTCTGTGCTACAGATAGGGTGAAAAAATCCATACCTAGCTGTGCTGGGTTGGTTATACCAACTTGGCTAAAGTTGGAAACTGTTGTCCTTAGCATCCTCTTCTTTGCGTGGTTCCAGGAAGAGCTATCCAGAAGAAACACTTACGGAAAGTTTGGAAGGAAGAAGTTCAACAGAAGCCATTATTCTTAAAAGGTCACATTTTGGAACATTACACTGTGAGAGGCAGAGACAAAGAGGCCCAGAAGGTTCAGATTGTTCTTGCTCTTGTGTGCTCTGCATTCTGCACATCATCCTGGCCTTGGTGAGCAATAATAGCATATACCAAGATTTGGTAGGAGTGGGAAGAGCAGAATATCTCAGGCACAGGCAGAAAGGGGTTACGCTGTCCTGGAGAATTTAAAACAGTAATAAAA